TAGAAGAACCCCAAGTAGATAGTTACAAAGCATTGTAATTGTCCCACAAATCGATACACAATAACTTTGCAAGTCTAAGAAGATTCATCAAGAGCTAGAAAGATATGGCCTTCTTGTCTCTACACATGGGATGTGTCCGTTATACTAAATGACAAACCTAATACTTATGAAAAGGCAATGTTAGACATTGATTTCAAAAAATGGCATAAAGTCATGCAATCCGAAATGGAATCCATTTACACCAACTAAGTATGGACTTTGGTTGATCCACCTGAAGGTGTCAAACCTATTAGGTGTAAGTGAGCCTTTAAGAGAAAGACTAACATGGATGGATATATACATATGTACAAAGCCAAACAAAAGCAAAAAGGTATTGTTAAAAACAATATGTTGATTATGATGAAACTTTTTTACCAATTACAATGGGTAAATCCATTCGGATTATGCTTATAATTGTTACATATCATAATTATGAGATATGACGGATGGATGTCAAAACCACTTTCCTTAATGAAAAATTGAATAAGGATGTGTACATGACATAGCTCGATGATTTTGTTACCAAAGGACATGCAAATAAGATTTACAAATTACAAATATTCATATATGGACTTAAGCAAGCATCTAAGAGTTGGAATCAATGTTTTGATGAAATGATCAAATAATTTGACTTTTCACGAAATGAAGATGAACCTTGTGTATACAAAAAGGTTAGTAGGAGCTTAATTGTTTTTGTTATACTATATGTAGATGATATACTATATTGGCAACAACACTACCATGCTATAATCTATAAAAGATTAGGTATTCAAGAATTTCTCTATATATGACATGAGAGAGCGACTTACATTCTAAGAGTCGAGATCTATAGAGATATATCACTTAGAATGTAAGGGGTCTCCCAAGATAGATCCATTGACATGATACTAAAAAGTTTAGTATGAAAAATTAAAGAAAGGATTTCTTCCAATATCATGTGGCTTGATGGCCGACCATAGAGATTCCTAGCATTGTTGATCCAATAGTATTGTATTGTGATAATAACGAAGCCATAACACAAGCTAAGAAACCAAGGTCTCATCAACGAGTCCAATCATGTACTACATCGCTTCCACCTAATTAGAGAGATTATCAATCGTGACAATATAAGGATAGAAAAGGTCTATACCGATGACAATATAAACGACCCCTTGACTATGGCTTTTTCATAATCGAAACATGAGATCCTTACTCGATCGTTGGGAATAAGGGACATGGCTAATTAGCTCTAATGTAAGTGAGAGATTGTTAGTATAGATGTCCAAGTTCCAACCTTGATTGGATGGTTTGACTTATTGTAATATTGCATTTTTTATTTTATTAATAAAAGAATATTTGTATTAATTTTTATTATTTATATTTATTGATAAAATTAGATAGAAGTTCATATGATATTCATTGTGTTAATTATTAATCAAAAGATATGAAACAAATATTAATGCACTTAAATGATATTATCAATTATCCCAAGTTATAATATTATCAAGAATGGACATTGACTATATGCGGTGAGACTTGTGAGTGTTATGCTCGTGCTATAAGATAACGACAGGAGATCTCACACCTATTGACATGATGATGCCAAAGCAAGCACTTAAGTGATTATTGTTAGAGAACATATCACTAGACTTGACTCACTATGAGAACCAATTTGGTTTAATCTATGATAATCTCATACGAGATGGTTAGAACTAGTCCTTTGACTTGAAGTCATCAAGGTTATTTCATTGGAGGATTCATGTACTTTGATATTCATTTTAATGGATCTAGTAAAGGGTTGCACGTGGGTGATTCATTGGATGCACTAAGAATCTAATGGAGATAGATAGATGACTAAGATAGGACATGAAATTCTTTGTATATTAAAGGAGTTATTACATTACATTTCGATAAATGTCTACTCAAGAAATATATGACCACGATAGGAGTACACTAATAAAGCATAGTTGGTTTACTCTAAGAGCTAAGATATTTAAAAATCGAAGAAAACTTGTGTAATCATAATCGAACGGACTAAAAATCAAGTTCAAGATCACACTCGTGATAAATTGACATGAGGACTCGAATTGTTTGGTAACCATGCTCGTGAAAGATAATAGGAGTTTAATTAATCCTTCTAAAGAATCGGATAATTATGATACCTTGCTAGAGGTCAATCATAATTTATGTATAAAGAGATAAATGAGGTGTCTTTTATTCTTGATACATTACTAACATATCTAGGAGTCTATTGAGTCACACGCATAAGTTTAAGCATTCACATAATAAAATAGAAGTAAAAATTTTGGAAAAGGTTTTCAATTTTAAAAGTTTCATAAAATGGAAATTTTACTATTTTAGAAATCAATTTCCTAATTTAGAAGTAAGTTACCTAAAAGGAAATTAGTTTCCTAATTTAGGTTTAAGGATAATTTGAGAAATTGTTTCCTAATATGGGCTTTCTAAAAAATATCTAACCCAATTTATTTGAATAGTCTAAATTAATTAGTAATTAATTAGGCCAAAAGAGTTTAGGTCGATAGGTTTAATTTAAAAACTACAAGATATTTTAGTAGAATGATAAACTTGAACCTTATTAGATAACGATCAAGGTTTACAAGGACAAGATCAAAAAGCCAACATGCATTGCAATTCCTAACCTTTTGAGGACTAGGAAGCAACAACTTAGTCTTTTTTGAACTTATTGTCATCATTTCCTTTTCCTTGGAGGACAAGGAAGTCACTTCTCTCATAAATAAAAGGAGGGTTGCGGCAAAGAGTCGACTTTATGATAGGCATACACGAGCATAAAAAAGGAAAAAAGAGAAAATAATTTTCTCCCTCCCAAAAACACGTTAATTCTCTCCCTCTCAATTAAGATTATCGCAAAATATCCCTACATAGATTTCTAAAGAAAAAATATTAAACATGTCAAAAAATGATGAAGCTAACACTCTACAACTTCTAAGTATTTCTTGCGTAGGTGCTTAAATTGTGTGAATTATTGATAAAAACCGAACACTTGGACGATTATTTTTGCAAAGGCTAAATCTATGCTACAAAAGGTAATTCTTTACTCATGCTTTAATTCATATATGTATGATTAATTGATTCAACATCTTGATCTTAAAAGCATTAGATGGAGAAAAAAATTTATTTTATTTTATACCTCCATAAGATACATGATCCTTCACGGAGATAATATTAAAAATATTACCCTACACAAGACATAAAACGAGGGCCGAGCAAAACCTTTTAGGGGCGAGGCGAGAGCAAAGATGGCCATCCCCACCCCCGCCCATTTGCCATTCCTAACTATAGGGTAAGTTTATCACCCCTTGTATTCCACACTTTATTTTAATAAAATTTGCTGAGTATTATCCTTGTTTGTTAAAAAAAAAATAAATATAAAAGGGTTTTCATTAAATTTATAATATTAGGTCCTCAATTCTTGAAACTTTCCACCCATCAGTCCATTTCACGAGATATTCTATCATGTGGGTGAAACGAAATAATTTTTTAAGTTGTGAGCATGAGAGCAAAGGCATAAATCACAAATTCAACTGGATGCAGCAAACACTTATTTCAAAAGTGTTATATGGCAAACTTCTAGTCTTGAGAAATGACTAAAAATAGGTGCTTAACATTTGCATATATACAGATACAAACACTGAATCAACATAAACGCTTTCAGTCCTTCAGTCTAGATTCTAGAATACAAGTGCCTCATAATTTATGGGATTTGCTGAGTACCTCCTGCCTTTAAAGTAACAATAACACATAACATGTGTTAAATGGAACCCTGCAAAGGACGAAAAGGAAGCATATCGATTAGCAATGCGCGACCCACTCTTAAGAGAAAGAAAGGAAACACATAAGAATCTCCGCAACAACAATGCCACATTAGTTCACTGTTTTCTGCAATCATGACACAAGAATTTCTGGAAGCAAATCAAGCAAAGCATGGCGGCGAAATGTTCATAAAGGTGCATTTTGTTGTAGTGATGTTCATAAAGCTGGAAAAATCAACAACCATGACCAGCTTTAGTAGATAATTTATCCTTGTTTAGTTTCCAGCTCAAATGGACTTGAAAGACAAGCTTTGTTAACCGAATTCACAGAACAGAACAGACTTTATTGAGATTATAAATAGCCATAGTGAATTATTGATACATCAAAGAATATTGCCATTGTAATCAATGGAAATGTAGTTTTGATGATGGTTCTAAATGGATAAATGGCCTCGTATTTATAGCAAGACAACAGAGCATGGTTTTAAATGTGGCATAGTGAGGCTAAGTTTCATTTTCTTATGGTACAAGACAAATTGTAAGATTTGTAAGATAAATGCATATTCTCGAGGGCCAGCATATATAACTCTTCTTCTTCTTTTTTTAATTCAACATTATGCATCAATCAAGATTAAATATGCACCATAGAAGATATTAAAAGTGTAATTTCCATTTCGATTCTTTATATTTAGATAAATTTTTTAAATCGCCTAGCAGCATTCTCCAGAAAAATGAAAAGGAGCCTAGCCAAAAGTTCAAGCTATTATACCAGGATAAATCTAATCTACCTTTTCATATGTCAGATGCAACCTGAACAAATAATTGCACAACTAATTTGCTTGAACTTAAACTATTCAATTTCCTAGATAAAAATCAAAATCAAAACATGTAATGTCCACAATACAGAAAACAATAGGCCTAATACCAGAATTTCTAGTTCCTTTTCAATTTTCCTTGAAAGAAACAAGGACATCAAATTAATACACCCAACTACAAACATTAAATTATTATAATAAATTAACAAGGAAAAGATGATTTAAGGAAAACCAACTGAGTAAATTAATAAAAACAGCTTTAAAAAAAAATAAAAAATAAAAAAAAAACCGCAACTTCAACTTCATTAAAAGAGATAAACCTTTATGAAATTACGAAAAACAATGTAAAGGGAAAAGAAATAGTAAACCTACCATTTTAAGAAGCAGAGTGTTTGCCCTCACAGAGAGGACTCTCATCAAAATTATTGGAAGGATATTTAGCAGTAACCACACCAACTTCAAAAACCAAATTGTCTCCACTAGACCTAATCCCGGTTATTGACCACCACTTAAAAAATGCCCACACCCGGATCCCATCCAGCTCCGCGATCTGACCCTGAACGATCTTCCCACTAACCCTTTTGGAGTATGTGGCCAAGTAATTGTCAGGAGGGAGAGTGATCTTACACGTGCCAACCAGGTCGACGGAGAATATACCTGAGGTCTGGTTGAGAGTGTAATTTTTGACGGAGGCAGGGAGGAGCCCGATTGGGAAGCCGTAATTTGTGAGCTCGATGTGGGCGGCGGTTGGGGGTTTCTGTTTTTCAGATTGAGAGGAGAAAGGGATTAGTAAGAGGATGAGAGAGATGAGAAAGAAAAGTTTGGTCATCTTGCTTTTTCTTTTATCTTGGTAGATTGATTTTATGTTTTAAGGTTTTGGGTGCGAGATCAGAGATATTGTTTTCTTTTCTTGTTTGGTTCTTGGTTAAGAGGAAGACGATAAAACGGAAAACGAAAACAATTTTGTCATGGATGATATTTGACAACGTAAACTGCTAAGACGAAATCAATTTTTATTATGAAGCTTAGAACCTGGAGGGTCGACTATTGAGGATGGTTCGATGTTGCGATGGAAGATAATATTAATAACCAGAAACCTTCAATTTAGTTCCGAACCTACATAACTATTCTTAATTGCATTCTAAACTTACGAAAATCTATAACGTTTTTTATATTTTTCAATCATGTTTTTTTTATCATTTTTTATAAGAAAATGTAATTTCATTTGTACTACAAAACACGAATGGAGATTACAAGTATCATAATCAATTCTATTTGAAAAAAAAATTATCACCAAAATAGAAATTATTAACCTTCCAAGCAGCATCTCGTCATTTTCATTTTAAGGACTTTTAAATGAGGTTTTTAGGGTTTCTCTTATTAGAATGTTTATAATATGTTTTTTTTTTTTCTTTTTTCATCTTAGGAATCTTCTGCCACCACCTATCAAAAGCAGAATTGGCTGCACTACCAAACCCATCGATGAAAGTAACAAGTATGCAATAAGATGTTGAACTTTTTTCATTTAATAGATTCAACAACTATATATAACACTCGATGCTCATTAAAAGTGTTTTTTAATAAATATAAGGATATTAAATGCATGTGAAAAATGTTTTGAGGGCATGAAATAATCCACAAAGGATTAAAAGAATATTCGGAGTAGTTAAGATAGTCTTCTCATGCTTAATGAATATTTTATTGATTTTACGATGCATAAATAGTGACTTTTTATGTGAAATAATTATTTTAGACGTTATATGTGCATGAAAAATATTTTTTTTTACATAGAATATTTGCTAGAGGGTGTTAGATTATTTAATGCTATTGGATGAATTTTCCGATTGGCGGTGAATATTTTATTTGAGTTTTACTCGTGCATGAATAGTATCTTTAAGCTAAATTAATTATTTCAATGCTTTAAAGGTGTGAGAAATTTTTTTTATGAGCATAGAAAAATCATTAAGGATGTATAGGGATATTCCATGAATTTAGATAAAAATTTCCATGTATAGGGAAAAAAAGTTTTAGAGGAAAACCTATATTTTTACACAAAATAATTAATTTGGAGGCCTAAATAAGGGTATAAAATTATGTGATTGATGATTAAATTCTTTTAGGAAGTGTTTGAATTTATTATGAAAAGAAATTAGATTTTGAAAAGGTATATAATAAAATTATAGAATTAGAGACCTAATTGCATGAAATTAGAAATCTAATTGCATAAAATTAAAAGTTTAAACTTTCAAATTCAATTAGCTATGAACTTTAGGAGTTAAAAAATTATTAATGAATCTTGAAAGGAAGAACCTAGTGTAATCAATTGAAAAATTGAGGGACATACGGAGGAGTAATTAAAGGAAATTGAAAAGTTAAGGTACAAGTAAAGGAGTAATTAAAGGAAAGATTAGTAAATTTAGGGACCAAAATTAAGCAATTTTTAGAATAAATTTCTACCCCTTTTGCCAACTTCCAACGAGCATGATTGGGGGTTAATTAATGAACTTTGACTAGGTTCAAAAGGAGGGGTTAGAATTAGGCAAGATGGAGGGCCAAAATTAAAAGAAAGGTTAATGGCTAAGATTTATCCAATTGAAAGGATAGGATTTAAAGATGATTTAAGTGCTATAATCACACCAAATTACAACAAACCATGGGTAGAGATGAGGTCAAAGGTCCACCAAAATTTGCCTATAAATATGGGTGAAAGAAAATAAGAAAACTCTTGCAAAATACAAAGAAAACTCTTGCAAATTTTTCTTAGGAATTTCCACTAAAAAATTCACCTAATCACCTCTAAACACTCTAAACCAATTAAGGTGATCGTCGGGAATGTTGCTCTTCGGGTTTATTATATAAGTGATCGTCACGAAGGCCCAATTAAGGTTTATGCATGTATTTAACCTATGATGTCATATTAATTAATTCTTGATGTTAACGTGTAATATTTGAATAACTTAGTATGAGAAATTGGTGATGAAATGAGAAGAAAATAATGAGGTTAATGCAAAGGTAAGATTTGATCAAGGTTTGGAATTTTAGGGTTTATGATTTAGCTTGTGTAACTTAATTAGAAATGAGTTCTTTTAATGCCAATTGATGTTTGTGATGTGTTTATGATTTATGGAAGTTGTGATTTGATGATTATGAAAGTGTGTTGCTTTTTAATTTGTAATGTTGAATGGTTTGGATTGGTTGAAATGATGGATGGTTGGATTAGTTTGGAATGATTTTCAATGGGGTAATGTATATGGTGCAAGTATGATGTTAATTCATGCATTATTATAGCATAACACACCTCACTCATGGCATACATTTCATAAGGTTCTAATGATGATGCATTTACAATAAATCCATATGCATTCCAAGTTTATGGAAATGGTCTTAAATTCAAGAAAAAGAGAATTTTATGCCAATGATCGGGAAATATCAAGATTTTGTGAACCACTATACTGGTATTTAAACCAAACATATCTTCATGCGACTAGGCAAACACATCTGCATACTCTTGTAGGAGGGCAATCAAACCTTTCCTCTCACTTTGCGATATCAATGTCCTAATTTATAGTTTTTTTTTCTTTGATCGCCACATTTATATTTTCTAGCTTCTCTTGATAAGGTTTTATAGATCATTCGATAACTTTACTAACTTGGTAAATTCATCCACATCTTCATCCTCAAATTCTTTTTCATCTATTGTAATCAAATTCTCCTCAAATTTAGACCAAACATTTTTTATAAAATTATTTTAGAATTTTAGGAGATGTTCATTTTCTATATCCTAAAATTTTGGAAAATGTGAAAGTAAAAGGGACGGAAAAAAGGGGCATAATGTTTAAAGAAAATTCATGATCTTATATAAATATTATAGATAAATGCTCCACACAAGTCTTCCTCGGTATCTTAAGCTAGATGATCAAGAGATTAAGATATACGGGAAAAAAAGTAGTAAATTACTCAATGGTATAGATAGGCGAAATCTCCTCCTCTTAATTATTGAGCCCCTCGCTCGACACTCCTTCCTTAATCACCAAGTCAACAATTGACATCTTTTCTAAGGTGTTGATGATCGGTTATGACATCATCACATCTTAAGGAATGACCAAAACAACTAATTTCCTCTATCTTCAACTCTTCATCAAGATGATTGATGGACAAGTCAATCATTTTTGCCCCCAAGCTCACTATCTCTTGATTTTAGTTGATGGCACAAGCATGGTAGGAAAAGGTAACTCGAATATAAGGAATAAAAATCTTCGTTTCATTGGGATCTCGACCCTCAATTCTAGCAAATTGTTTCTCCTTTTTCTACTCAATAGCTCTCGGATAATCTTTCCTCATAGGCTTAAAAACAAACCCAAAATGATGATCCGAATTGGCCCTTTCAAGCATTAACCGCTCTCAACATTCCGACGATTGAGATCATGATTTAGTAGAAATCCATATTTCATCAAGTATTTCGTTGCCATCTTTACGAGCAAAAGACATTTCCGACCTTCTTAGAAAAGTGTTCTTAGGAACTAGTTCCGCATTCGGTATCTCAAATGCATGTAGATTGCTATCTCGACTTCATTTAGCTTTAATGTAGGATATAGAGACATTCTTAATCGGAGGTAATGTCTCTTTCACCATCACTGTGACCAATTTGCCATTAGCCATGTATTTCAATCTTTGGTGCGGTGATGATGATGTCATAGCCTCGGCGAGTGAATCCATGATCTCTCTAGAAACATACTATATGATGGCTGAATATCAATGACTTGCGGAGTAACCAAGAATTGGTTGGGTCCAATATCCAAGTTGATATCGATATCTCTTATCACTTGCTTTGGAGACCCATCATCGGCTCTAGCCATCATACTACTAGGACATATGTGAGATGCATCCACTAGTAGTCGATCTAAGATTAGCTTGGGTAATACATTCAAAGCGGACCCATTATTGATCGAACTTTCATAACCATATGATCTTTGTACTTGACTATGATGTGCAAAGGCTTGTTATAGCCGGTGCCTTCGGGACCCAAGTCCTCCTCGGAGAAGACAAATAGTTTAGTAACTTGAATTCTACCTATCAAGTTTTCCATGGCATCAACGAGTAACCTTCTAGGGGATATATGCTTCATTCAAAATCTTTTGTAAGACTTTTTGATGTAGTTTTGAACTCATGATTAATGATAATAAGGAGATCTTAACGAATGTTTTCTTTAATTAGTCCACCATACTATAGTCACTATTCTTCATCACCTTGACAAACTCGATGGCTTCCTATCATCTATTGGTTTATTCAACTCCCCTACCTTAGTGAGGTTTATTACTTCCTTGGCTTTTACCTTTTTTGACATTTTTAACTCATTAGGCATATAACAACGTCCACTCGAGTAAGGCTCACAATATTACTGCCAACAAACATTTTTATGAGTGGATAGTTATGATTGACTACATTATAGGATAGAGCTAAACGGATCTTTGGCATTATTAGTATCATCCTCGAAGGCTCGTTACTCATTGGTTGGTATCAACATAACTCATCTTGATTTGTCTCTTGAGGTAGGATTATGCTTACAAATCATTTTTTTTATTCTTATCTACTCGTAGTGTTCCTAGGATCATCATAATTTTTACGTCTTTATGGAATTTCTCACATTTATCAATATCATGCCCCTTCATCCGATGATATTGATAATATTGGTTTTGGTCATTCCCATTCGATTACTCACTAGCTCTTTAAGGCAACCGAGCTTGCATAAGCATAGAATGTAAATTATCCATCAACACTCTCATTTTTTATTCTTCTTTTCGACCTTCACCTCTTCAAAGGATATCATGC